CGGCTATGAAACTTCCAGCGTAGATGAAAGTCTCCAGAAATGGAAATGATGGTGTGAAGAGCTCGCTGGTGAAGAAAAAGGTGAACGGAACCTCGGAAACACAGAATTACGGTCTCTTTTTTCGGTTGTGGTACAACGATGGACACAATGCGCCGGAGAGGGAGAGAGAATGAGCCCGAGAGTACGCCGTAGGGAGAGAGAATGAGCCCGAAAGTACGCCGTACAAGAGGGAGCAGACACACAACGTTGCATGGTGTCTAACCGGAGGCACCAAACGGAGCATGGGCAAAGTCGAGGCTTCCTTGTCGCGCGCTTTCATCCCAAGTAGAAGGTGCTCTTCGCAATAACCTCTACTCTACCCAAAAGAGTACACCAGTGGTTCTGACGCGACGCTTGCCCCATAGGCCCCAGAGGTTCAATTTTCTTCAAATTAGTCATGTTGCCGATCTAATAACATCATCCAAACCGACAGTAGGCATCTGATGGGACGTTGCGTCGGCCGATTGCGCCGATTTCAGAACTCATAGTCCTAACCTTCACAAATAAAGTGCTGTCTATCTATATCATAACTGCTTTGGAATTTGCTCCAGCTTTACCAACGGTTGACAACTATTTTAATCTGTATATCCCCTTTGTTGGAAACTTTTCAACGGTGCTCTTACTTGACTAGCTGAGGGAGGGTAGCACACCAAGGGTCAGCATCGAACAGGGTTATCCCTAAAGGGAGCTAAAATATCTATCCGTGTCCCAACTACGAAATGATGGACCTTGGGCGGCTATGAAACTTCCAGCGTAGATGAAAGCTTCGTATATCTGCTTAAGTTGGCCTGAAATTGAAAATGCGCTGTTCTTCCTCTGAGCCTAGAGAATCGTAGAATTTTTTCTTAGGACGACCATGAATTTCTTCGTTTTTTTGTTTATTTGATCTTCCCCGTTCAATATTTTCAATTTGAATATGTTCACTCCAACCTAAAATTTTTCCTTCTATTCATGTGACCTTTTCCAAACCAATGAGCAGATTTGGAAAGTACAATATTTGATCCTTTCGAGCAGCAGAATTCTTCTTAAAATCCTATGTTGGGAATATCTCCGCTGATTAATGAGGGAAATTTCGGGCCACTCGAAGAAAAGTTCCTCTTGAAACCCCGGCAAGGAATATCAGCAAAAAAACGTAGCATAAAGAAAGCGTCCAGTTTCGATCGATCTCGTTCTAGTATGGGCCATACATTCGATTCACGCTCGGAAT